TTCCAACGGTTTCCGTACGCTGAACGCACTTACAGAACGGCAGATAGAGAAGTTGGGAAAATACAAATTGCTGCTCTTACCGGCGCGAATGCTGAAAACCGAGCCACTGACAACAGAGGAAAGCCTCTTCCGTACGTGGTCAACGCTTTTGGGCAATCTTGCCCTGGAAGACCAGCGGGTAACGAAACTTTCCAAGACCGTGATCGGATGTTTCGACGTTGTCTCGAAGAGCTCGCCACAGAACTTTCAACTAACAACACGTTCTGGCTTGATGTGGTCGCTCGTCACAAGGAAAACAAGTTTGACGAGTTTGTTGTCGCGTTCCCTGAGAACATCGGCTGCGGCCTTGCTCGTGCAAACTGGCCCACTTACAAGGAGATGATCGAGAGCTTCGCAACCAGGATGATCGTCGCTTTCGAGCAACGGTTTGGGAATTGCGACCAGCTTCGAGTCAAGGCCATCATCGTCAGCCTTGACAGCAGCAAGAAAGGTGACGGTGGTGCTTCAGCAGGACCTTCTTCAGGCAAACCTGACACCAACCACCAGTCTGACCAAGACAAGTCGCCAAAAAGAGGAAGAAGTCGAACTCGCAAGAAATCTAAGTCTCGAAAGAAGAAATGCCACCGAAAACCCGTCAGCAGCGCTGACCTCCAAGCTGAAGCTGCTAATGACAACGGCTCCGAAGCTCCTAACGATGATGATGACGGAGGAGGTGACAGCGACGGAGGCGGGGGAACTGGAGGGTTGATTGAGCCTCACCCTGACTCGATTCAAGAAGTCTTTCACTGGAGGGAGGCTGAGATAAGACCGCTGCCCAAGGACGGGTACGTTTGGGTCAGGAGCTTCAGCCAGGATCACCAAACGGAACGGATCCGCCCGGTTGCAGAAGCGAACGACAGCTTTTCTCGATTCAGAGTTCTGCACGACCCTAACCCGAAAGATCATGTCCATCCTTTTTACTCTTACGTGCACGACAACGACTTTGAGATATTGCTCAAACCCGAGGGAATGCCAGAACCAGAGCTGAAGAAGATGACGGTTGCTCTTGTTTACAACAGCAAATCACCAAGAAGGAAGGACTCTTTCAGTGGCGAGAACAACTACGACGACGAAGATGGCGGCTACGACGAAGATGGCGGCTACGAGCCTCTTGCAACTGACGACGACGAAAACCTGTCTGACCCTGAGGCCGAACTGCCCAACCCGAAACATCCTTTGAAGACTCTTGAAGAACTTTGTGCCGCTTGGTACAGAAGGTGGAAAGTCCCCAACTTGACTAGAGCTAGACACCGAAGAAGCCGGGGTGACGAGCTTGGTTTTTGTCCGCTTTTTACTAAAGAAGCGATTGAGGAGTTCAAGCGAAGCGCCAACTTGGTTGTAGCCAGAATCAGCATTCTTGCCTGGGACAGCGTAGAGGATGACCCGAAGGTCCCTGTGGGATCGACCTACCAGCCCGAAGAAACGCTTCTTGCAGAATCACTTCAAGGGTTGTCTTCAATCATCTTGTCGGCTTTTTCAGGAGAATCCACCCCAAACAAAAAGAGGAATTTGTTAGCCGCTTACGAGTGCTGCCAGCTGTCACTTAAGTTCCGACCTCTCGGGGCTTCTTCTGACTCTTGCTCCGTTTGCCTTAATTCGGCGATTGCTGCAGCGTCACTTCCTCTTGACGAGAAGCCTTTGGTTGCTTTGAGGGTGAAGCTTAGAACTGCTTTTCACCTCACTCAGGACTACCAAGATGTTGAACCCACTTCGTGGAAGGATCACGACAGCACTTGCAAACTTTACAACAGACTTCGCGGCAAATTGACCGCAGCAGTCAACAAGAAGCGTCAAGAATCAAGTAGTGACGACAAGCCTTGGTGGGAAAAGGTGCTTGCTGATTCTGCTGTTTCCAACAACGACTTCCTCCTTCTAGTCAGAACGTGGAAGAACTATTTGAGTTACGTTTACGACCTCAGTGACCTTCAGGGAGGAACAGCATTTAACGGAACGACTGTGGAATCGCACGGTTATTTTAACGACTCTTCTCCTGGAGCCCTTAAGCTCTCCGATTCTAGTGACGATGCTGAAGACGGCGACGATGAAAAAGAAGTTGCTGAAGCAGAGGACGACGACAAAAGCGAGGAATGCGGGTCTAGCGAGGCTGTCGGAGAAGGTAACCTGAGTGACGACGCCCCACTCCATGATTGCAGCGAGAGTGAGACCAAAACCGCGGTTTTGAGTCCCGGTGATTGCGGGCACAAGCTCGAACTCGACCACTTGCCGAAATACAAGCGAGAAAGGAGAAACAGAGAAAGAGCAAAGAGAGCTTTAGCTCGAGCAGCAGCTGCTTCTGTGAAGGTAACCTCAGAGAAAATCGAAGACAGCTTGATTGAGCCAAGCTCCTCTGTGAACGAGGCATCACAACTACCGATTGACCAACCAGCAACGCCGATGCCCTCGTTAACGAACGATTCTTCGGTTGAAACCGTGCTGGAATCAACGACAGGCGGGTCACCGTTGCTGCAACCGACGCCGCTGAAACCTGAACCTTCTCCGCTTCCAGAAATTGCTTCTTCAAACCTTCTTTCCAATCCAGAGTCCGAAAACAAGAATTTAAACCTCAACCTCCTTCCGCAACGCGAGATTGACGAAAGGGACGAACCAAGGCAGATCGAACCGTTTTTCGAACCAGCTGCTGAGCTGCAAAAACCCGGCCCTGAGAAGAAGCTCTTTTGTTTGTCTCCGCCACCTCCTAGCGCGATGGAGCTTGTTGGAAAGAGCAAACCAAAGCCGGCTCTAGAACCTGTTTTTGAAGCAGAGTGTGAAGAAAATTCTAACGAAGAAACTGATAAGTCTGTAGTCGGGGAAGAAAACCTCAACGAGGAGGGGCTTTTGAATCAAAAAGCTGTTGGATCTGTTGAAGGCGAGCCTGACGACAAAGCGGGCGGTGACAACAACGGAGGAGTGCAAGAACCTTTTCCTGAGATTCAAGAAACAGCTAATCTTGAGTTTGCTAGCGTTACTCCATCAAACGACTCTGTGAGCGGGACTCGGCGCTCTAGCAGTGGAACAACTAAGGTCGGAAACGTTGAGTTTAAAAAGCTCGACAGGTGGGGAGACGTCACTGAGCGCGAAGACATGTTAAAACTTGGCACTGACGACGACAAACAGCTGGAGCTTGACTTAAATTTTTTCGTGAAGCCTCGTGCGTTTATGCCGAAGGAGGGGGGCGAGGAGCGCAGGGCTCTTTGCCTCGCCAAACTTCTAGACCCGAACTTTAAACCTGTCGATCTTGCGGACCTGCCTATCCTCAAGCAGTCGCACTCTCGCTTGATTGGAACGTACTCTGAACTAGGGAAGCTTCCAAAAGACGACCCCACCGAGGCGTTTGACTACGACTCTGATGCTGAAGGAGAGGCTGTCGAGAAAGAGACCGGAGGGAAAACGGAGGAAGAACTAACAACGTCTGCTGCGTGCTTTCCTTTAGAACTTCCCATCTCCTCTAAGACCGACCTGTTGAGTCTGCCGGGCCAAAGAACGACCTCAACAAACTGGGCTGGCGATGCAGACAAGCTGACCGTAGAACCTGCTTGTAGCCCGGCTGTTAGTGCAACTTCGAGTGACGAGGTTTTGTCGGAGTGCGACAATTTAATTCGAGAATGCGACGCGCTTTCGCCGCCGCCGAAAGAGAAAACCGTTGGTGACGGACAGATGACCCCAGAAGAGCTTCAACAACAAATCGATAGAGACATCGAGATGACGATGACTCCAGAAGAAATCAAGCAGCTATCGGGAGAACCAGAAGTCGAAGCCTCCGAACCAATCAACTGCCTAAGTAGCCCAGGCTCTTTCTCAGACCTTTCAACCGCGGCACCGGGGTCAGAGTTGAGCTCTTCTTCCTCTTCGAAAAGCCCTGGTGTTTCAAGGCAAGGAACTGCTGAATTAGCTGCTGTCATCAAGCAAGGTGAGAAGCCCAAGTCGTCTTCTAGGGTAAACTCTCCTTCTAAGCGCAGTGCATCTGAGAAAAATGGGAGAACGAATGGCGCAAATCTTTCTAAAAGTAACAAGAAAAGCTGTGATGAAGGAGCCGACGACGACGACGACAACTGCAACAGCAAAAGCCCTGCAGTTTCTAACGACCCTCCAGCCAAGCCTCTTTGGGTTCGGATTTCAGCTTGCCTGTTTAACTCTGGAGGCCTTGAAACTTTCTGCAAAGACGACTTCAGCTACGCTGTCAGTTTGTTTCATCCTGCAAACGTGCCGCAACGACTCATGATCGTCCACCTTGAGACCAGAGTTTCGTACGAGAAGCTTCCTTCAGCAGCTGCCGCTTTACGAGCGGCGTCTGGAGACCACTTCAGCCACTACCTCCTTCCTACTCGAGACGGAACTAAAGGAGTTGGACTTTCGATCCACAAAAGTCTTGAAGGCAAGGTTAAGATCATGAAAATTTCTGAAGAACAAGATCCGTACGTCAGGCTGATGCATTGGACTTGGACGGGGAAAAGCGGCCGAACGCAGAACGCTATCGCGTACTACACCGACAGTTCCGACCCTCTTAGGAGAAAAGAGACTGACGCTGTTGTGGAAGGCATGATAACCAGTTTTGCAGAAAATGACGAAGACGTGTTCCTTTTTACCGACATCAACAGTGCAAGGAGATCGGGCGACGCGCACGTCTTTGTCAGGAACAAACACTCGAACCTAGTCACCAAACCGTACACAGACCTTGAGGACTTCCTCAGTCAGAGCCACATTGCCATGCGAGACATTGCCGTTGAGCATAGAAAGGACAGCTTCACTTGGTTTGAAACTTACGAGCATTGCAGAAAAGGACGAGGAGCGAGGCTCGACAGGATTTATGCTCGAGGGCTTCGTTGCGCTAAGACCTGCCGGGACTTTTGGGTATCTGGGTTTGATAGAGCTGATCACCAAGCTCTCTACTGCGACTTCAGCTCAATTGCGGCTAACGACTACGACGGAACCTCAAAGCCGAAGCCGATTCCAGTCAAACTAGACCCTTCCGTCCAAGTACAGTCAAACCCTGTTTCCTTTCTTTCCTCGATAACGAACTGTTGGGAGATCGATTGGAATCCTCCAGCGCGCAGGAAGAACGACCCAAAAGGAAAGCCTGTGTTTCGGCTCATCTACACTGACTGGGAGCAAGACGGACGAACAAGAAGCTACGACATGTTTATCGGTCCTTGCCCGTATGACAGGTCTAGTTTTGGCCAAAGTGGTTCTGGTGGATTTAGACCGCCTCGAGGTTGGGAGCCGTCGTTCAAAGAGCAAGAAGATTTAGGCCGAGACTACGTCCTTGTCAACAACTGTGCAAGAGAGCTGTTCTACCAGCCATTCCCTTCTTCTGGGCTTCTGTCGTTGAATACGGAGATAACCAGCCACGGCAAGAACAAAATTGTTGGAGAAACAGGACAACTAGCTCTTTGGTACCTCAAGCACATCGGTCACTTCTTTGCGATGCTTCCAACTCGAAAAAGCGGTGACGTGCTTACCCATTGCATGCACGGAAAAGATCGAAGCGCAACGTACACTCTACACATTTCGGCGATTGTTTCTTTTCTGGTTGGTGACCTTTTTGCCAAAGCTGAGGAGCTGCACGACAAGATCAAGAGGAACTACAGCCACTCAGACGCAAACAAGTGGAACGCTCCTAACTTTCCCGGCTGGGACCAAGCTTTGCGCAACACCTTTACGACTCGAACTCGAAACCTTCATCCGAGGAAGTCTTGGGCTAATAACGTCAACCGGTGCTACATGAATTCTGGAGGAGGGGCCATATGCGCCATCCCTGAGATCAAGAAAGCGATCATGGACTACCAGGGAAACCCCAACTCCAGCGATCCCCAAGCGGCAATTCTCCACGATTTCATAACGAAACTCCAAGACGACTTGAAACCAGACTTGAACGCAACAAGAAGAACTTTTGTCGTCCCGGGATTCCACGAGCCTTGCGTTGAACTTGGAGGGAAGGAGACCATCAAAAGCGCAATTTCAGGACAGCCAGTACTTGTCGACATGTACCGACCCAGAAGACATTGCTGCGCTCAAGAATTTGCTTTTAACTTCCATGGATACCTCATGAGAGCCCTGCCGGACAACATTTCTAGTAGACCTTCCGTGTGTCGAGCGTTAATCTTCACTCCTGAGCTAAAGACTAGTGATGACAGTGCTTACCAGATTGCTGAAGGGGTCGACTTGTTACATCAGTACGAAGTCTCTCAGTGGAACGAATCTTCCAGTTCAGACCGAGAAGCAATTTTGAAAACCAGCACGGAACTAGTATCTACTCGAGGGGAGATCCAGCCTGGTTGTTCTAGACCCGCAGAATCAAGCGCTTTGCTTTGTACTCTTGAGTACAACCCTGGAATGTCTCACTACAGAACCAGAGTTTTTGAGCACGCCGAGATAAGGGGAGCAAGATGTGTTGACTACGAGACGTTTGACTGCCTTCGAGCCAGCAGGGAATGGAGCCGAGATGGTGTTCGAGATTCGTTTTACCGAATCCCGCCTTCGGAAAGAGGTTGGGGTATCAAACTTTCGATTTACCAACCAGACCCTCTTGGAGGTGTTCCTTACGGCCCAAACCCGCGTTTCTCAAGCGGAACAACTAGATCTTTAAGCACTACAGCATCGAATGCTGGCGGCAGCGGGCAAGAAGGCTCGTCGAGCCCAAGCGACGACGCCGAGGTTGGAGACGCTCCACTTCCAGCAAACGCCTTTCCAGCTCCAGTTTATTTAACTGCCATCAGCAACGAAATCAAGACAACTAACACTAGAGAAGCCAACCTCAAGCGCATTGCTGAAGAAGACTCCAGCGAAGAAGGGGATGACTCTTCGTCCGCTGGAAATAGCGAGGACAAGGTGGTGACAAAGCAAGAGAAGAAGAAGAAAGTGGCTGTTGAAGAGCTGAAAGAGACTTACTTCTACGCGAAAGGCATTTTGAGCTCTAGACACAAAGCAGCTTTTGTGGTTGACAATCGAGCGTTCTTGTCCGCAGCTCACTTCATGACGTTTCAGAAGGCTGTGCTGTTTGGAGATGACAACATCAAGGAGAAAGTGTTTGACGAATCGAATTCGAAGCCTGTTGACGCCGAGAAACTCGGGAAGAAAGTTCGCTGTTTTAATGAAGACGACTGGAATGAGAAGTCAGAAGGTTATTGGAGAACTGCTTGTTTAGCTCGGCTCCGGTGCATTCCTGCGGTTGCCCGCTTTTTGAAGACTTTAAGACCAGATTGCCTGATTGCGGAAATGCACTCCGGGCGCTTCGGGACAGGGCTTCCGATTTCGAACCCCACCGCGAAGGACAGGAGCAAGTGGAAACAACCGAACATTGGGGGAAAAGTTTGGCAAGAAATTCGTTTGAAGCTTGAAGACTCTGATTGGGCTCGAGACCACCTCCCGCCACCTAACATTCGCGGAGACGGTGTTTTAGTGGTCAATGCAGACGACCTAGACCAACTCAGTTCGACTAACTCTTCAAGCAACTCGTCAGAAGACTCTTCGGAACAATCAGAGCAGCCAGAACTGGAGGACGAGTTCGAGCTAAGCCCTGACAAGCTCTCTCCTGCTTTTTCAGCGCCTAAGAAGGCTTTCGCGAACCTTACTTGTCCAAGCCCTAGTGCTAAAGAAACTTCTCCTTCAACCAAACTGACTGGAACGAACAAATTTGAAGCTCTTATTGATGACGACGAAGACGAGGATGACGAAGCAGTGAACTCCAGCAGTGAGGACGTTGCCGACAACAGCTCTAGCTCTGGCCTTGGCTCTAGCTCTAGCGGCGGTGCAATGGATGTGGTTCCTAGCAGCTCTAGCGACATTTCAGACCTGACTCAATCATCGAAAGAAGTTCCTAAACAAGAAGGGAACGATAGAGACGACGTCTTATTCTTTGCAGCAACAGGAGTCAAAACGCCAGACAAGTCTTTGAGCAAGAGCTCTGATGAGCCAGCAACGTTTTTGCCTTCGAAAACGAACAAGCGCGTTACCACCCCGATCTCGCCTAAAAAGTCGAAGAAACAGCGTGTTGGCGATGAAGACGACGAGATGATCCTAGCTGAGGCCCAAGAAGCTGCTGAAGCTGAATTAGGGGAGTTTCGCTACCTTCTTATTGGTCCAAGCCACCTTCTTTCAATTGCGGTCCCAGACTCTGTTCGAGGAACTCTGTCCGCCCACCGCTGGAGAAAGAGGTGCCAAGGAGACGCCGGATTGTTCCTTTCCAACTTGTTCCAAAACCCCAGCCTTGCGGCCTTCGTCAACAACGAGAGCTTAGTCTCTATCAATACTTTCATTAGAAAGTTCAACAACGGGATTTACGACTACAGAGACGAGCTGCAAGCCTTTGTTGATTCGATGATTAGCTGCGTCGGGTTTGAAAGCAAGGAGAAGGAAGTAGTAAAACATTTTGCCGGGGAAACCGTGGCTTGCAAACTGCAACACCACAACTTCTTCGAGGACCCGTCGAACATCATTTGGAACCTTTTCCTTTTGAGTTTCGCAGTCAAAGTTTGGGGAACTTCTCTTACAAACCAGAATTCAGTAGGGAATGTCTGCGAAGCGATGTTCGGTTTGCTTTCGATGGTCGTCTACAGTGATGCGGAAGACCCAAGCGGCTCAAAGACCCTCTCGATCAACGACAGCTTATGGTCCTGCAAGGACCTCACGAAGGAGATACACGCTCTTAACAAAACCGGAAAGTACCCTTGGAGTGTTAGGGGCGTTCTTGACAACAAGGAGTTCGTCAAAGCTCACCCAGAAGTGCTTCTTCTCCAGCCAGATATTGGCAGCAACAATGAGCGCGTTTTTGAACATTCGACATTCTTCTTCTTCACTTCTTGGCATTCGGAATTCCCAAGCGACAAGGTCAAAAGTTGCTTATGCTCAGCTCTCAGCAGAGACCGAATAAAGAACTTGTTCTACGCTCTTTCCCACGCCGTCGCGGACGCTGCAGGAGCTATGACAGGGCAGTACTGCGGAGCTAAAACTACAAACCAGGTTGCTATCCCGCAACCAACCAAAGCCTTTGACGACAGTGGTCTGCCGAAGTACTACTCTTCTGTTGTAAGGACTTGCACGAAAGGGGCTCGAGATTCCGCAATACCCCTTCAAGGTCCTTTTGAGCTGGAGTTCTCCAACGCTGACGACTCGTTCATCAAGCAACTAGACGTCCGACAAAGAAACGCTATTCGAAACTTTTTCTCTTGGACGGTCAACTTGCTTAGGAGCGGTCCAATTGACCCAGCACTTCTCCCTCATAGAGACGCAGCCAAACTGATGCTCCAACCGCAAGACCGAGGTTGCCTTCATTTCTTTCCGATTCGTGATGTTAGCGCTTTTTCAGAACGCAAGTTTCGTTTACAAGCCGTGACCCAACAGGAAGACAAGTGGCTAGGCAAGTGGTTCGACGACACCTTCACCCCTTCATTAAGCCAAGATATTAGCGAGGACGCTTGGTTAAACGGAGATTTGTTCGACGGTTGCAGAAGGGTCACGTCTTTTCTGGCTTTTTGGGCTTGCCTCCGAACTCAGAAACAGCACTTTCTAAACCTTGCTCCTGGATACGAAATAAGTTTAGACGATCAAGCTTTTCACGTTGCTCACTCTTGCTTAGGAGGCCGCGTTTGCACGAATCTTGTCATTTACTACCCTCGACTTCCTGTTTTGGCTGATTTTGTGCTCGACGAACGAGTCAAGAACATGGAGCCAAGCAAGCTACGCGACCAAGTTTTTTCAGAACTTTACAGTCGATCTCTTGTTTACGCCGGAAAAGACCACGGTCCTACAAGAATGCGCGTCTTTAGCACTGACAACAAATCCACGCACATTTCCGTCTACTGCCCCGGCTACGTCGTTAAAGAAACTGAACCTTTGCAAGTTTCTCGCCAAGGCGATCTGCTTCTGTGCAAGAAGCTTGGTGATGCGAAAAACTCCGTTATCGCAGATTTAACTGGAGAGATAATGACCGACCAAGCGGTGCTCTCGTTTGTCATCGTCCCTTGGGGCCAAGGAGCGATCTTGTTACTTTCGAATCCCCCTGACCTGTCATCCGAAAGCGGGACCGACCTTGGCGAATCACTAAGTTCGGAACAAGACGTCGAGGCCTGCAAAGTTGACGAAAAACCTAACGACGAAAAGACGACAGAAAGAGCTGAAAGCGAGGCTGACCGAAAGACTCAAGAAATAGCCCACAAGAGTGGACTTCAAGTGGAAGAGATATCCGAATTTGTCTCAGCAGTTCTCTCCGACAAACCTTCTGTTTCTTCTGCCGAAGGCAAAAAGGCTAGGAAGAAACTTAGCAACGAAGAGGTTGAGGAAAACCTCCAAAGAGCATCGAACGCCGCAACGTTGTCTGCTTTCCTTAATCGAGAAGCAGCTGAAGTAGCTGGAGACGCAAATCCCGGGGAGTTCAAGCCGCTATCAGGAAACCTGAAGGAGTCTACGAAATACGTTGCGTTCGCGCAGCAACTCCAAGTTNCCGTCTACTGCCCCGGCTACGTCGTTAAAGAAACTGAACCTTTGCAAGTTTCTCGCCAAGGCGATCTGCTTCTGTGCAAGAAGCTTGGTGATGCGAAAAACTCCGTTATCGCAGATTTAACTGGAGAGATAATGACCGACCAAGCGGTGCTCTCGTTTGTCATCGTCCCTTGGGGCCAAGGAGCGATCTTGTTACTTTCGAATCCCCCTGACCTGTCATCCGAAAGCGGGACCGACCTTGGCGAATCACTAAGTTCGGAACAAGACGTCGAGGCCTGCAAAGTTGACGAAAAACCTAACGACGAAAAGACGACAGAAAGAGCTGAAAGCGAGGCTGACCGAAAGACTCAAGAAATAGCCCACAAGAGTGGACTTCAAGTGGAAGAGATATCCGAATTTGTCTCAGCAGTTCTCTCCGACAAACCTTCTGTTTCTTCTGCCGAAGGCAAAAAGGCTAGGAAGAAACTTAGCAACGAAGAGGTTGAGGAAAACCTCCAAAGAGCATCGAACGCCGCAACGTTGTCTGCTTTCCTTAATCGAGAAGCAGCTGAAGTAGCTGGAGACGCAAATCCCGGGGAGTTCAAGCCGCTATCAGGAAACCTGAAGGAGTCT